AATCGGGCATCGTGATCGTGGGGTGGGATGATGGGGGGGGTGGAGATCGCCATGTCCAAGCAGCAGCACCTCACCCCCCCAGCCCCTTTTGGCCCCTTTTTGCCTCCCCATCCTGAAGGTCAGCGCGGACACAGCAGCGAAGGGAGGGAAGGAAATCCCCGAGTCATGGTGTCTTCTCCCCCCCCAAAAAAAAACAACCCTGACAGATGAGAAAGAAGGAAGGGATCCAAGCTGGATACAGGCAGGCAAGCAGGCAGGCAGCAATCCAAGGTGAAGGGTACCTGGAGATCAACTGACAGTAATCTCACAAAGGAGGCATGCAAAGAACATTCATCAATGAGCTCTTGGTCCTTTTATAGGTTCAAAATTCCTGCTTTTCCCCAGACATTCTGATTGGCTGTTGTACTGGCCTCATAAGAATACTATTGGATGAAGCTTTCTCTGCCAATATGAGTCTTGGTGGTTAAACTGGTATGACACTGGAAGATGGGCCCCTCAGGTCGAAAGGCATACAACATGCTACTGAGGAAGAGCAGAAGACAAGTACAAGTAGCTCTAGAGCTAATGAAGTGGTTGGGTCAAAGCCGAAAGGATGCTCAGCTGTGGACGTGCCTGGAAGTGAAAGGAAAGTCCAATGCTGCAAAGAAAAATACTGCATAGGAACCTGGAATGTAAGATCTATGAACGTTGGGAAGCTGGAGGTGGTCAAACAGGAGATGGCAAGAATAAACATTGACATCCTGGGCGTCAGTGAACTAAAATGGACAGGAATGGGCGAATTCAGCTCAGATGATTATCATATCTACTATTGTGGGCAAGAATCCCGTAGAAGGAATGGAGTAGCCCTCATAGTCAACAAAAGAGTGGGAAAAGCTGTAATGGGATACAATCTCAAAAATGATAGAATGATGTCAATACGAATCCAAGGCAGACCAATCAACATCACAATAATCCAAGTTTATGCACCAACCAGCATTGATGAGGAGACTGAAATTGAACAATTCTATGAAGATCTACAACACCTTCTAGAACTGACACCAAAGAAAGATGTTCTTCTCATTCTAGGGGACTGGAATGCTAAAGTAGGGAGCCAAGAGATAAAAGGAACAACAGGGAAGTTTGGCCTTGGAGTTCAGAACGAAGCAGGACAAGGCCCCCCATTCCAAGTTTTAAGACTTTGCAAGCATCCTGATTGTATGAAAGGTGACCATCTTAGTGCTTCTGGTTGCTGGGCCAGAGAGGCCAGGAGAACACGTGTTTTCCCCCTTCACGCCCAGGCCAGACCACATCCTGACCCGCTGACTCACTTCTGACGAGAGCCTGGCACGCTGGATCGGAAAAAACCCAAGACATGTCAGAGAATGAACCATAAACGTGTGTCACTTCCCCCATCCAGTTTTCTCGGTGAATGCGGGCATTGCTGAATGACCTCCTTGCAATAAAAAAGAATAAGTCCCTGCCTGTAGTAAACTAGCAGCTCACCAGAGAAAAGCTGTAGCTTTAGATATGGGACAAATAGTGCCTTAAAGCCTAGCAGATTTGTTTCAGTTGAGCTTCCTTGCATTATAGTCCACAGACTATTGTGATCTACAAAATTATCATAATAAATCTGTTAGCCTGTAAAGTGGCCCAGCACTCTTGTTATTTTTGCTCTGTGTATAGGCAGCTACATCTTCGAAACTGTTAAATCTTGGGGTTGCTGATATGGCTGTCCTCCAAATGGCGAGGACTAATTATCTTATCATCCCCAGCTAGTGGGTCCAATCCCTGAATGAAAGAACACCACATTTTCCTGCATCTAAATGTTTGGCAGGAGTAGGGTTGTAAGACTGGAATTTAGATGTTACTAGAATTTTTAATGTGAATTAAATAAATGAGGTTGGAAATGCCATTACAGAAAAGTTCACACATGCATGGTGATTGACCTTGGACTGCAAACACTGAATGTATTGCACATGAGAATTGACAGTCTCAGGTCAAACCCTGTTGTTGCCATCTTTTCTATTGCCTGCAAACCCATGAGGGCTCAGTGCTTTTCAGAGCAGACTGTTCACACATACTCATGATGGTCAATGTGGGATGACATCAAAAGGGCATTAACTGCACGTGTGGCTCAGCCTGTAGGTCAAGGATTGAGCCAGGAACTTTTTAGCATTCTGGAGAACAAGCTGTTTCTCCTAAAAATACATTAAGATTCTGGCCCTCATGGTTCTGAAGAATAAGCTGCTAAGGGGGAAAAAAGAGCCTAACTTTTTTTTAACCATTGGTCCTTATATTTCCCACTAGCAGTGAGTTCCAGGGTTTCAGATCTAGTAGATCTGGAAGTTTTTGCAGATCTACTAGATACCGTATTTTTCCATGCATAAAATCCCCCCCAACTTTTCTAAACCAAAATTAAGAAATCAAAGTGGGGCCTAGCAAGTGTGGGGGGAAAGGATCAAAGCGCTGCAGGATCGCTTTGATCCCTGCTTTCTCCCTTTGTGCTAAGCCCCGTGGGGCTTAGCAAAAGGAGGGGGAAAGGGATCAAAGCAATCCCACAATTTCACAATCGTTTTGATCCCTTTCCCTCTTACACAGCCACGCAATTGCTTTGATTCTTTCCTCCCTCCTCTTGTTAAGCCCCATGAGACTTAGCAAGCAAAGGGGAAAGTGGGAATCAAAGTGATCCTACAGTGCTTTGATCCTTGGTTTCCTTTTGCTAAGGATTAGCAAATGGAGGGGAAAGCAGGGATCAAAGCCTTGCAGGAACAATTTGATCCCTGCTTTCCCCACCACTTGTTTTTTTTTACTCCTCAGCTTACTTCGGTGTATAAGACAACCCTCAATTCTTAGTCTAAAAATTTTAGACAAAAGTATAGTCTTATACACAAAAAATGTGGTATGGCAGGAACTGAACTCAGGACCTTTGAGGTGCAAAGCACATTTTCATCTGTGGTCTTGATCTTTTATCATAGCTATAATTGGCAATGTTTTCCCTCAGAGTTATGGCTTTGAGCTGCCTTAGAGTCCACTGACTGGATTCACCAGCTTCTTCCTGGTGCGCATAGCTGCTAGAGTAAAGTAGAGAAGTTGGCATTAGCATGACCTTGACTTCTCCTTTTGCCCCCTCCAATTTCTGTTTTGTCTGTTACTCTAGACTGTAAGCCTGTCTGGGCAGGGATCATGTCAGTTGTGTGTTGCCAGCGTGCCGTTACTGCTTTAAAGCAGTAGAAGTTCACTATGAGCGACTTTACATGCTTTATTTTTTACAACTACTCGGGCACTACAAATGACAGTGGTAACAGGCGTCCATACCGGAGCATCGAAGAAAAGGTAAGAGGGAAAGCCCAGGAACTGGTGAGAGCTGGCAAACACCTTTAAAGCCACAAACACCTTGCTGGGCCATATCAGCCACATTTGATTGGAATATATTGGAACCCAATCAAACCTGCTTGAAAGTCAACGAGAGCTGTGGTGGCAAAAGGCGAGTGGGAGAGAGCAGCTTGTCGGTGTTTCTGGCGTGCCCTACATTTAATAGTTCACTTCCTGGACAGCTGTTGTAAAGGTGGGTGTGAGCCCTAGAAAGAAGCTTCTGGTTCTTAAGGAAGTCTGTTCCCGGAAAGTTAAGGTGGCTCCCCTAAAAAGGCGAGGAGCTAAACAATCATTGGATTTATTCATTTGATTTGTCTCCTGGCTTTCTCTGCCCAAAATGCCAGGTCTCCCAGCTGGCTTCTCGCATAACTGCAAAGCAAGCACAGTTTTAAACAGGCACGATAAATATTGGCCAAAATACGGCTGAGGATTTTGCATGTACACGAGAAGAATCAATCGACAAGGTGCCCGACACGGACCAAGGCTGCCTCTGGTCACATGACCAGGCATGTCCTCTAAGGCGGTGGTCCTCAACCTCGGGCCTCCAGATGTTCTTGGACTACAACTCCCAGAAGCCTTCACCACCACCTCTGCTAGCCAGGATTTCTGGGAGTTGAAGTCCAAGAACATCTGGAGGCCCAAGGTTGGGGACCACTGCTCAGCTGATCTTCCAGTTTGGACAACAGCTCAGACTTCTCTGCCCCGCCCTTTTGGCTGATCTCCCAATCAGAGAAAAAGGGCGGGGCAGAGAAGTCTGTGCTCTTGCTCCTGACTGGGAGATTAGAGGATTTCTGGGAGTTGAAGTCCAAGAACATCTGGAGGCCCAAGGTTGTATTGCAGATAGTTCTATGGTGTTTGCTCACTTCTACTGTGTTACTCTTTAGAGACCTTTCTCCCCTACCCCCTTTAAATACAAAGAAGAATAGTAGTTCAGGATGGGGATGAACCAGTTCATCAAGGTAGCAGCACAGGTGGTGGTGCTCCCACCCGCCAATTCTTCTGGCTCAATCAGCCTCTCACCAGGCCCAGCTTTTGTGATCTTCAGCTGATCTTCCAGTTTGGGCAACAGCTCAGACTTCTCTGCCCCGCCCTCTTGGCTGCTCTGCCAATCAGAGAAAAGGGCGGGGCAGAGAAGTCTGTGCTCTTGCTCCTGACTGGGAGATTAGCTGAGGAGGTGGGAAAAGCAAGCAAGCTGGGCCTGGTGAGGGGCTCAGAAGGTGGGAGGGAGATGAACTGCAGCACCTGTGCGGCCACCTTTACAAACTGGGACGAACCAGTTTGTGCCCATCTCTCATTGTACTATTAGTAACCATCTTAGAACTTCAGAGCTGGAAGGAACCCTATATAGATCATTGAATCCAGTCTCACTCAAGAAGGCACAAGTGGGGAATTGAACTCCCAACCTCTGGGCTACAGGTATCTAGCAGTTCCTCTATGCCACTGTGCTCTTGCTCCTGACTGGGAGATTAGCTGAGGAGGTGGGAAAAGCAAGCAAGCTGGGCCTGGTGAGGGGCTCAGAAGGTGGGAGAGAGAGGAACTGCAGCACCTGTGCGGCCACCTTTACAAACTGGGACGAACCAGTTTGTGCCCATCTCTCATAGTAGTATTAGTAACCATCTTAGAACTGCAGAGCTGGAAGGGACCCTATATAGATCATTGAATCCACTCTCAATCAAGAAGGCACAAGTGGGGAATTGAACTCCCAACCTCTGGGCTACAGGTATCTAGCAGTTCCTCTATGCCACCACCACTCTTTTCCTTTGTTGCACTAAACTTTGGCACTTATGGTAGCACACCGATCGCCTGCCCTGTGTGCCCGGCTCTTGTTGCTCCTCCAGAGCAAGGATGATTGAAGTGCAGCAAAAAAATTTTAAAAATTACATGCTTGAGTGTTCTCAAGCCATGGATGTTGGACAGACGGCATCTGTATTTCTCTTTTTTTCAAAAGACCTGTCTGTCAAGTGGTTTTTGGCCCCCAAATCCAATTATAAAGAAACCAGCTGCAAAAGATTTAGAGTCCAAACCACGGTGAGCTCGAAACCAGTCTGGTGGGTTAGCATGTTGGTTTGGAATCTTAGAAATCCAGGTCTCAAGGCCATGGAGCCATGACCTTGTCTTGCTGGCCCTTCAAGCACTCCTTCCCCCCCCCGAACTCGGCCACCCCCATGGCTGTTATGAGGGCGCAAGAAAAGGAGAAGCCATTCTGGCACCGTATCCTCACGACACCCCTGGAGGAGGACAGGCAGGTATCCTGACTTGAGCTCATTGGAGGAAAAACTTAACTCCTGCCACTACTTCCTTCTCCCCAGCAAACGTGAGACATCATTAGATCTGTTCTGACTCTCAGCGTGGGAACTCACTGTAAATTACAGTGGCCAGAATCCAAGTGAAGAATAATGTCAGTTCATCAGTGTGAATTTCAGCAGTGTATTGTTGCTAGCAAAGAAGTCACGATTTACATTTATTGTTGTGCTGCAGGTCACAAGACTGGGGCGTGACATGGAATGCAAACACCTACTTCTTTATTAGCAACAATTCATCCCTAAGGTTTATGTCACAGAACCTCTGCCAGCGGCCGTAAGGAGTAATATTCTGGCCACTGTGTTGTATCCAAAGCTTCTCCCAGCTTCTTCTGTGCGTATATGTTAGGTCCTCAGTGTGTTTTAGAAGTCTGGGGGATCGGATGTGTTGTTTGGACAAAAAAAAGCAAACAAATCTAGAGTTTTAAAATCTCTTTTCAGAGAGCTATGGCATCACTCAAAGACAAACTGATCACACCCATTGCGCCGCCGGCGACGAAGCCGCACAGCAAAGTCACCGTGGTTGGAGTCGGTCAAGTTGGCATGGCTTGTGCAATCAGCGTCCTAGAAAAGGTAATCCTTTTGCCCCAAAGAAAGGTTGTTATGGTGAATTGCCCTGTCGATGGGAAAGGATCCGTGGCATTTGGCAAAGGGGCAAACAGCCTGTAGTTTCATCTTACCCGGTTTGGTACCTTCCAGCTGTGTGAAACTCTTAATGCCCATTGTCTTCAGTTGCATGTGATTATAATCAGGAGCACAGAGTTCTGACTCCTGTCCTCTGAAGATGCCGGCCACAGAGACTGGCAAAATGTTAGGAAGAAAAACCTTAGGAACACGGCTAGACAGCCCGAAAAACCTACAGCAACCATTAGAATACAGCTTGTTGATACTCAGAGCTGGCCAGATAGCTCAGTAGTTTTAAGTACAGTGGTGCCTCGCTAGACAGTTACCCCGCAGGACAGTTTTTTCGCTAGACATTGATGTTTTGCGATCGCTATAGCGATTCGCAAAACAGTGATTCCTATGGGGGAATTTCGCTGGACAATGTTTGGTCCCTGCTTCGCAAACCGATTTTCGCTAGACAATGATTTTGACAGCTCCCTCCGTGCTCCCAAAACGGGTGTTTTTGGGACCTAAGCTTCGCAAGACAGCTATTTAAACAGCTGATCGGCAGTTCGCAAAGCAGCTTTCCTATGGCTGATCTTCGCTAGACAACGACGCTTCTTCCCCATTGGAACGCATTAAACAGGTTTCAATGCATTCCAATGGGGAAATGCTTTTCGCTAGACAATGATTTCACTAAACAGTGATTTCAGTGGAACGGATTATCATCGTCTAGCGAGGCACCACTGTATCAGGGTGCAGAGCCAGAGGATGAGAATTCAATTTCCCCCCACTGTGCCTGCTGGGTGAAGAGCCGGCCTGAGTGGCCTTGAGCAAGCTGCACAGTCCCAGAGCGCCCCTAGAGGAAGGGAAGGGTAAACCACTTCTGACTATTTTAAACCTAGGAAACCTTGGGTCACCATAAGTCTTCTGTGGTAGCCATCAGAGCTTTGTAAGTGCACGCTGGCCACCTCAGTAGCAGCATACAGTCTGTGCCTACCTAGAAATATTGGAAATACCCTGGTGTAACTTCGCCTATCCTTAGTTCTTCTTAAGGTTAAATCCTTCTCTTTCTTCCCTCCTTCAATATCAGGGGCTCTGCGATGAACTTGCACTGGTGGATGTCCTAGAAGACAAACTGAAGGGAGAAATGATGGATCTGCAACACGGAAGCTTATTTCTAAAGACACATAAGATTGTTGCTGACAAAGGTGAAGTTTGGATTGTATCTGATTCACACACCCCAAAAAAACACCCTTATATGCTGGATTTTCCTATTAAGATAAATGGGAAAGAGAAGACGGAACGTTACAGTCACCTTTGCCTGTTTAACCATTTCTCCGGTCACCAAAGGTGATCAGAAATGCCAAGTAAGTGAGTGAGATGGCTGATAAAGGGGATGGAATCCTCCAGCCCAGTTTTCCTACATGCTCACTATGACTAAAGGAAGTTTCCTCTTCCACGATCATTATAGAAGTGCACCCGGGTGGCATGATGGCAATGGATCACCCTAACCTGGTTGATAGAAAGCTGTTCAGTTCAGTTCATTTGACTTTTCTGTACTTTACTTTAATAATATATAAGCAGGCAGGTAGAGGTTATATATTTGGTTGCCTGCTAACAGGCAGGTAACCTCTACGGAGTATTTATTTATGGCATGCATACCCTATTTCCTACGTGGTTCTCCTTGCTCTCCATGTAATCCTTATAGCTATCCTGTTGGGAAGGTCAGTGTGGTGACATTAGCGATGGTTTCAAGGTGAAGCAGTCCATTAACAATCAAGTTCCTTTTTTACTACCATCATAGACTGGCCATCTAAGTTATTAGAATGATTAATGAAGAGGTTCAATCAACTGCTTCCTTGTGGGGCATACAAGTACACATAATTTTGTGACCTTGTTAGCTTTTATTCAGCAGAATCCTACTGTGTAACTTTGCACTGGTGTAAATCGGATTGAGCAATTGGAAGCAATTAATTTAAATTGGTTTAAAGCTTTCTATACCCCTGTTTCAACTTCCGAGGCTCTCTTTTGGCCCAGGAGAAGCATTTGGGAGCTTTTGAAGCAGAGGACTGTCAAAAATCAAAGATTGCCTCTAGATTGTCCCCAGCCATCCCATCCCCAGTGGCAGTGATGCAGTGGCAGTGTTTTATTTTTAAAGCCCCTCTCCCAATTCCAAAGCTCCCCAAGGCTTCCCTAAGGCAAAAGGGGAGTTCCACGGAGCCTCGGAATTTGAAACCGAGAGAAACAAAGCTTTGAATCCATTCGAATTAACGATTTCTGGTGCCTCAATCTGATTTGCATAACTGGTGCAATGTTATGCGACAGGCGTTTGCCCAGAGGTACATTCCAGTTTTTTTTTAAAAAGCAGATGTGTATAAAAACAGTCAGATCTGCCTGCAAATTTGATAGAATTGGGTTAATGTACAGCGAACGAGTATCCCTACAGTTTGAAAAACATAAAAACACATGGCCTAGTGTGTCAGCTAGGATTGGGCAGATATGCTGGGAATAAAGAATACACTAGATCTCCCTTCTGGAATGGCTCATAATGGGTCATTAAAAGAAATCAAAGTGAAAATACTGTTGATATTTAGGGATTTCTAGAGTATGAAGATACTTTGCCATAATTTTTTTTATTGTGATGTTTCCTAACAGCTAGGTACCGTGACCAAGTAAGGTTTATGGCAGGGTAGGGATCTGAGTCCTGGCCCTGGGTTCTAATCCAGCATGGTAAGCACAGCATCACTATACTGCCTCTTGATAATTTCTATTTTTTTTCCTTTGCTGCAGATTACTCTGTCACTGCTAATTCCAAGGTTGTCGTGGTAACTGCTGGCGTCCGCCAGCAGGAAGGGGAAAGCCGCCTGGACCTCGTCCAAAGGAATGTGAATGTGTTCAAGTTCATCATCCCACAGGTTGTGAAGTACAGTCCGGACTGCATCATCTTGGTCGTTTCCAACCCAGGTAAATGGGAGCTTTTAGTTAAGGGAGAATTCACCTGGTCTGCTCACCTGCAGCCGAGGTTCCCACAATGACTCCTGTCAGGGTGACATCTAGCGTGGGCAGATCAAAAGCGCACGTCTTCCCTAAGGAAAATGTTTTGAGCAAACATGCACTGTGGGCAAAAGTGTATTGCTTTGCATTATGCACCAACATATTTTCTGAGTGTGGTGGGCAAATATCAGTTTTTCAAACATCAGCATACCTTGGGGGCAAAAGAATGGAGAACATTTGCTGTTTCATTCTCCCTCTTTTCCCTTCGTTTGTCATGTTCACATAGTGGGTCATAGAATCATTGAGTTGGAAGGGGCCTCTAAGACCATCAAGTCCAACCCCCTGCTCATTGCAGGAATCGAAATCACAGTTCTGGCAGATGTCCAGTTTTCTCTTGAAAGCCTTCAGCGTTTCGGTGCTCACCACCTCCTGAAGTCATTGGTTTTTCCATCGTCGTGCTGCTCTAACAGTTGAGGAAGTTTTCCTGATATTCAGCCTAAATCTGGCTCGAGCCCACAGAAGTTGGGGCAATAGGGTTGGGTAGCCTAAAGAGAACCACTCCAAGTTAGGAGCCTGATTTGGTGGTCGTCACAGGGAAATGCCTCCAAAAACAGCATCTGTGGAGAAATCTTCATTGTGAATTCCTGCCGTGGAGTTGAGCATCTGTATTCCAACGTCTCCTTCACAAAATTAGAAGTTGTCTGAGTAAAGCAACAATGACAGATCTGTTTTATGGATGAAACAGGCAGAACAGTTTTTGTATTCTTGAAGGCTTCTCGAAGATTTCTCATAGGGTACTTCCATATCATAGCACAGTTTGAAGTAAATCTTATTGAGATGAATGAGGATTACTTTCCAAAATAGAAGTTGTCCTTCTGCAGACAGACAGAGACCTTTCTCTTCAGACAGGCTTTCCCATAGTGAACGGCTATCTGAGACAGGTTTTTTAATGGATTGTTTTTGTGCCTTGTTGCTTTGAATTTGTTTTTATTGATTATGTTTACTATTTTAAGTATGGCATGTGATTGATTCTTTTTAAAATATTTGTGTATATACCAGTTTTAGCTTTTAAATACTGTCTTATGTAACAAGTGGCCACTGTGGGTCCTTTTTAAGGGGAATGGCAGGGGAAAGATATTTTTGAATGAATGAATGAATGGTTTTGGATTAAAACCTCCAGAATGCCCCGGTGCTGCCTGGAGAATTCTGAGAATCAACATCCAAAAAACACACAGATATGCACACCTGTAACAGAAGCCTCCAAGCACTAAAGACAGCCATAATAATTGCTCGATATTTTTGAATAAATGAATGAATGATCTGTGGGGTTTTGGATGAAAACCTCCAGAATGCCCCAGTGCTGCCTGGAAAATTCTGAGAATCATCATCCAAAAAACACACAGATCTGCACACCTGTAACAGAAGCCTCTAAGCACTAAAGACAGCCATAATAATTGCTCTCTGTTTTGTCTCTTTTCCTTGCTCAAGTGGATATCCTGACCTACGTTACATGGAAGCTGAGCGGACTCCCTAAGCATCGTGTCATCGGCAGCGGTTGCAACCTGGACTCGGCTCGCTTCCGTTTTCTGATGGCAGAGAAGCTGGGCATTCATCCTTCCAGCTGTCATGGCTGGATCTTGGGGGAACACGGAGATTCTAGCGGTGAGCAGCACCTCTTTTTTGTGACAATCCTGCAGGAAGGTTTGAATTGTCTTAACATGGAGGCTCAAACTAAACTAACAGTTTACACATTTTTGGCAAAGGAACTCCCCTAAATGATGAAAGATGTCTGTTTGTCAGGGCATGTGGTTTTCTTCATCTATGTATCTTGCATTTAGCATGCTTTGTTTGGTGACTTAGTCGCTAAGTTAAATGTTGGGTGTACAGTAAGATCGTGGTATCTGAGGGGGGATCCGTTCAGAGCCCCCTTGTGGATGCCGAAAAATGTGGACATGTCAAGTACTATACATTGTGTGATCTCTAGTGGCCAGTTCTGGAAATAGGCACAAAATGTCTATTTCTGGGGCGGCGGTAGGGGTGGTGGTGATGTTATTTAGTATTTTCAGACAGTGAATCAGTGGATAATAATCACAGGGGGGAGGGTCATACTCTAATTTGCAAGTCTCATTACTGAGAAGGAAAGCAATACATCCAGTCTGGCCCTCAGAACATGGAAGTAATGAGTCACAACGCGTTGCCTTTTTTGTGTTGCTGTTACTCAACAGTTGTGCTTTGAAAATAATAAGAGTGTGAACTATTGGGGCAGATAAGGTAGAGAGAGTGTAAGAGTCCCCGTCCCCCCATTACTTGTTGAAGTTACTTCTAAAGGTTTTTTTTACAGTCACTTTGAGTCAATTTTTTTTCAAGTTTTGTGCCATTCTGCTGTCTTATTTTAAGGATTTTTTTTAAAAAAGTAACAAGCCATAGTAAGCAACTTAATGAACTGTGTAATGAGTTACTAAACATTTTTGTAGCCGTAACAAATTACAGTGGTGCCTCGCTTAACGAGCGCACCGTATAATGATGAATTCACATAGCGATCCCTTTTTTGGGATCGCTAATGTGAAGGCATCCCAACCGCCGCAATGGGCAAAACTCGCATTGCGATGCCCGCGGATCAGCTGTTCGGCGGTTTCAAAATGGCCGCCAGACACCCAAAATGGCCGTGCGCAGCGTTTTCGCGCCCTGCCCTCGCTTATCGAGGGCGCGAAAATGGCTGCGGATGGGGAAAACTTCGCTTAACGGTGAGTACAGAAGCCATTGGAACGCATTAAACTAAGGCATTTTCCATCCCGTTTAGCAATGTTTTCTTATAGCGATGGTTAATCTGGCACCACTGTACTGGGGGGGGGAGAGGGGCCTGTCAGTGAGTTACATAAGAAATTATTTTCTAAATCTAGTTAGACTTTTCCTAAATCTGGGTAGGCCCTTGACCTTACCTCTGTCAATTTCATCTCTCTGTGATTCTTTAATGTCTCCAAGCAGGTGTGCTCGCCAAATTTGTCATTGCAGTGGATGCCATTTTAAACTGGAGAAGCCAAATTTTAATCTGAATTATTCTGCATATAAAGATACTGTTAGACTGGGATTCAGGAAACTTAGATTAAAATCCTCGCTTGATTATGAGGCTGACTGGGTAAATCTGGGCCAGTCACACTGTCTTACCTTAAACCCACATGCATCGTAGGCGTGTCACAAAGAGAAAGTAAAGAAGAGAACGCCACACATGCTGCCTTCAGCCGTTGCAGGAAAACAGATCAAAAATGTAATAAAATGAGGACATGCTGTCAGTCAAGGCAAACAGTACTAAGCTAGATGGATAAATAAACTGACCCCATATTAGGCAGCATCTTAGATTTATTTATTTAGACGGTTAGTATCCTGCCTTTATGTTTGACACAGGGAAGCTCAAAGCTGGTATTGTCAGCAAAATTATATTTTAAAAAAGAAACACCAGTCCTGTTTTAAAAGCCACCAAAACTACACACTGCTGATATAATCAACTGTAGTATGAGAGCCAAAGAATTTATGGCTCGTTTCCAAGTAGCAATTCTTGGCTTAGCTATCCATCACATGTTATGAGCATAAACATGCAGGTCCTTGAAGATAAATTAAGGCAAACTGAACTACATCAGAGATTGGAAGAGTTACCTTTTGAACTACGACTTCCAAAATCTCCCAGCCAGTGGGTGATTCTGGGACATGTAGTACAAAAAGTCATTTCTGAATCACTTACGTTGCTGCTTTCTCCACCATCTCCTTCATCCCAGACTAGAGTCATTCACCTTTTGGATGTTGGCTTTTTTGGCCAACATTAAAAGATTTCTAATTTTAAACCGTTGCTGTTGGTGCCAAGATCATTATAAATAACATAGATTTCTGCTCAGCATTCACTTGGCATGGAAATGGGTGTGTCCTGATGGCCAGCATTCTGTCCTTGTCCATGACCCATCTTGTCTGGAGTTAATTCCCCCCCACCCTTTGTTTTTCCTAAGTGGCATAGTGTTGCATCAATCTTGCAGATAGAAAGCTTCCACCCAGCATCTGTGTGATGCAGCACTAAAGCTGAACAATTTATTGGGAAACAATTCAGTCAGCAGGGATGATTGCTGATCTCTTGATTGGGTTGGCACCTCATACCATCTCAAACACATCACCAAGATGTTAACACAGGAAATGCCTCCACATACAGAATATAAAAAGGCAGGCTGTTCACACAACCAAAAAACGGATAAAAAACCAGCGCATTCTAGGATGGTTAAAAACAAAGAGTCTTCCAACAGGTGTTCAAAAAGATACGATTCCTGGAAGAAAAGTATGGGTTTCCCCCATAATATCATTGCGCAGTCCGAAAACTTTGAATTGCTTTGCACCATCCTAAATCCAAAGTAATTGGAGGAATCTATTGTAATGTAGTTGTACTCCTAAGTGTTTGTTACCTTACTAAATTTTCATTGATATAAAGGGCTTACTTTAGTTGGGATTGGCAGTTAGATCTAGTACCGTGTCTCATGCACACATCAGGCCCATTCAGATCTAAGACCATTTTTTTGGTAGACCTTCTTTACCTGGAAAGGACTTTGTAGGTGCAGGAAGCTGTTTTCTCCCCCTACCTATTCTCTTTATCCTTGTTGCTTGGACTAGTTTTCTCCAGAGGGTGAGCTCTTTCTGGGCTAGGTTCCATTTTTGGAACGTAGCTGGGAGGACAGCCCTCCAAGCAATGATGGTACCTGGAAGTCGTGTGAGCGGGAGGATTCGTCTGTCACTTATCTACTTACTTTCCTCGTGTAAGAAAGAAGATCACTCCCAGCTCCTGGCTTGACTTCTAAGCAGGACAAATATATCGGTACGTCAGCATAGTTGCCCTCCCGAGGTCACATTCAAAACAGGTTCATCTGTACGCCCTCCCGAGGTCACATTCAAAACAGGTTTTTCTGGAAACGTATGTCAAAATAAAGGCAGAGGTTGCAGTTAAGGTTCCAGGGCAAACCTTTTATGGTTCATACTAAGCCTTTGAACCACAAGAGGCAAAGAATTCAAAGACCAGTCCAAAGGCATAGTTTCAGGATATCAAAATTTGATTTCCCATAAACCGCTTTGAAAATGGAGTATTACAAGCAGGATGCAGATTACTTAAATCAGATTAAACAGTTCCTGCTCATGCATGTAATTTTGTTACAGATTTGACAGCTTTCCTGCAAGAAATTAGACTGATAGCTAAAAGAGGACTTTGATGTTCAGAAGCAATGTACATTTGCCAGTATCAGCTGTTGTTGACTACCTACGGTCTTCCTAGAGGCAGCTGATGGGCCACCCTGGGAAGCGCAAAACTGGATTAAATGGGCCTTAAATGGACCAGGAAGACACTGCTTAGGTTCTTCTCTAAGAATACTGGTGCAGAGAAAAAATTGCATTCTGCTTGAAATTCTGTTGGCATAACTGCACCTCTGGAAGGATGATGACCTCACCAGCAGCCAGAGATTTGCAGTAATTAAAGACTTCCCCCTTTCCTGTGGCTTTTTGCAACTTGCAAATAATCAGTTGCGTTGCATGGAAGCTGTGGGAGCCGCAGGACAGAAGGAGGAAGTCTTTCCTTACTGAAAAGCCTGCTTCTCTTATAAGCCGAAGATTAATGAGTTGTAATCCAAAATATCTGAATATTTGGAAAATATCTGAATCCCTGACCAACAAAATAATAAAACAGATTATCCAAAAAAATGGAGTATGTGTATGTATAGGTGTGTGACTTACATGAAACCTCGTGGCGCAGTGGTTAAACAGCAGTACTGTACTACAGCTAAAACTCTGCTCATGACTCTGATTCCCAGGCAGCTGGCTCAAGGTTCACTCAGCCTTCAGCCTTCCAATGTCAGTAAATTGAGTACCCACCTTGCTGGGTGGGTGGGGGCAATGCGTAGCCTGCATACTTATATTGCAAACCACCCAAAGAGTGCTTCAAGAGCTATGAAGCAGTATATAAACAGTCTGCTTTGCTGATGTTACATGATCATAGCCAAAGAGTGTTTCAAGAACTATGAAGCAGTATATAAACAGTATGCTTTGCTTTGCTGATGTTACATGATCATAGCCAGTTTTTTAGATGATAACTGGAATTTGCTCCATGGGTCATAAAATGTGTAATAGCACCTGTTTACCTGGGACAGGTTGGTAATGCGGTTTTGCCAGCCTACTACTGATTGCAAATCCTAATTCCTAGATTCTGGACGCGCCTATCAAGTAGCTGTTTTTTACCCACCAAAAACTCATGATTATTGTGGGGAACCAATGTGAAACATTGATAACCTGTCAGCAGTACTGCGACAGGCTGGTAATTAACACTGTCGGACCTAAATGCTGCAACCTGGATTCTCTTGGTGTTCTTTTTGCAGTGGCGGTGTGGAGTGGCGTTAATGTGGCAGGTGTTTCCTTCCAGGAGCTCAACCCCGCAATGGGAACAGACCAAGATCCAGAGGGTTGGAAGCAGATCCATAAGGAGGTTGTTAACAGGTACGAGGTGGATAAGATGCTTTCTTCACTGAGTATGTGCTGAGGCCTGGGGAGAACCTGGCGAGGTGGATAAAACCCAAGTGACTGGCAGTCTTTTGACAAAGATGCTTTCTTCTTCACTGAGTATGTGCTGAGGCCTGGGGAGAACCTGTACAGGGTATGAAGGAACTGACAGAAGCTGTTGCCACACTGTTGGCAGAATCCTGCTTGGGATGAGAGAAGCCTCTTGGTTTTCGAATATCTGGTGTATACGATAGGATAGGGTGAGAGAGCCGTGCAGGAAATGGTCTCCCAGACTGTCATATCTTTATTCTCCAGATCAGTTCTGATTGGCAAGACCAGTCTTTTGATCTCTTGTCCTGTCGCTTCCCTTCTTTGCTCACGGTCACCCGTTTCCTCCGTCAAAGTCCTCAAAAAGACCAGTAGGCTGAGATGTTTCTTTCTGTACCAGAGTCTCACCATGTGCAGTGGATCCTTTCTGCAGTGGCTCTTGTGCAGGACTGGGAGTGAGGGGGACATCGAAGCTTGGGTGGAATCTAGGTACAGTCAACCCTCGACTTACGAACTTAATCCATTCCGGAAGGACGTTCGTAAGTCGGAAAGTTCGTAACTTGAATCAGCATTTCCCATAGGAATGAATTGAAACCCGACTAATCCGTTCCAGATGTTTTTTTTTTGTTCGTATGTAGAGGCGTTGTTTTGTAAGTCGAAGCATTCATTCCCATAGGAACTAATGCAAAGCCGGTTAGTCCGTTCCTACCACTAGCAGCAGATTTTTTTTTCTTTTAGCCTAAGATAGCATAGGTTAAAAAAAGGCAGGAAACCACGGAGGGAACAAACGAACACTGTTTAAAAAGAACACTTTTTAAATCAAGGACCTTTTACACCAAGACAGGCACTTTTTCAACCAAGCACCTTTTAAATCAAAACAAACAGCTTTTAAAGTAACCAAGCACATTTTTACCAAAGCAGGCTTAAACTCAAACCAAGCTCTCTTTCACCCAACCACCATTTAACCCAAACAAAGCACCTTTTAAACTAAATTTTACATTTAAAAATGACAATACCAGGCAGTCCCAGGTCTCTTTTCCCACTCTAACCACTTGGACGAACGAGGAAGCAGACAAGCAGCCTCTTCACTAACTGAAAGTTCAAATTTCCCGCTTTCCCTGCCTTCCCCACACTTTTTTCATTCGTAACTCGAATCCAAGTTCGCAAGTCGAGTCCATATTTTCCTATCAGAGCAGTTCGTAGGTCGAAATGTTCGTAACTAGGGCCATTCGTAAGTTGAGGGTTGACTGTATCAGCATGTCAAACCAACCTAGATTTGATCAGGTGGCGTGCCATGGCTGTGAGGAGAAACAGTACAGGTTGCCTGAGGTCTTCCTATCAGTATAGCATTATAGGACATAAGTTCCTTTTTTAAAAAAAATTTAAACTGGGTCATTTGGGGGCAATGGGAGCAAGGAGACTAGCTTGAGCCAGAGTTGATGGCGCAGGCCTAAATCTAGGTTAACTGAATGGTTCTACAGGCGATTTAACTTTGTGCCCCACTTTTCGTGGGAAGCTATACAGTGGTGCCTCGCTTGACGACATTAATTCGTTCCAACGAAACGATGAAGAGCTATAAAGTTCAAAAAAGATCCGCTCCCTATTTGGTGATATGGATTAATCCACCTGCTTGCATTTTGGGAAGCTTCTCATGGAGAGGATCTCTGGCTGTGGGAAGTATTTTGATGACCACCTGCGTTTCCAGGTGTTTCAGTACAAACAGCTGGCGATTAAAACCCCATTGTAAATTTCTCCATTTTACCATAAAAAGTGCAGTGTCCTCCTGTTTTGCCAAGGCCATTATTAATCTCATGTCTCTCCAGAATGTAAAACGGTGCTGATCATCGCTGAGCGAGATTCCGCCATTTAAACCATCGTTTTGCGATTGCAAAAACATCAGGGTAATGTGGATTCGTCGTAGAGCGGGTTAATCTTCCAGAGGGGCACGACTGTATTGGCATTCTGGGTTTCCCCCATTCCGACTCTGTCACCGTCCAGCTAGTAGTGGAACTGAGCCAAGGCTTGGAGGGTCAAAGCCCTGAGATTATTACATTCTAATTAGTAGGGAGAGTGACATTATTTGCTGTCAACATAGCTTTTCTGAATATAGTTGTAATCCTGACAGTATCTAGGAGAGAAATGGATTTCCACAAGAGCCGTGTATGGTTTGCAAGCTATGCCAGCTCGAATGCACTGCATTTGAGTGTCGTTTGCCAATGAAGAGCTATAAAGTTCGAAAAAGATCCGCTCCCTATTTGGTGATATGGATTAATCCACCTGCTTGCATTTTAGGAAGCTTCTCATGGAGAGGATCTCTGGCTGTGGGAAGTATTTTGATGACCACCTGCGTTTCCAGGTGTTTCAGTACAAACAGCTGGCGATTAAAACCCCATTGTAAATTTCTCCATTTTACCATAAAAAGTGCAGTGTCCTCCCGTTTTGTCAAGGCCATTATTAATCTCATGTCTCTCCAGAATGTAAAACGGTGCTCGCCTTCCCTCTTTCTCCCCTTGTGGCCACCATGTTACCCTTCTGTCTGGACCGGTGGTCTTGTTGCTTTTTATTTCCACATCTCAAAACCTAACAGGGCTTCCTGTAATGTTTTTTTTTTACAGTGCCTATGAAGTTATCAAGCTGAAAGGTTATACCAACTGGGCCATCGGTTTAAGTGTTGCTGACTTGCTGGAGACGATCATGAAGAACCTTTGTCGAGTTCATCCAGTGTCCACCATGGTCAAGGTAAGAGATTATGTTAAATCAGATATTTCCTCTATCATCTTTTTCTCTCCTGGTTGCAGATCCAGAACACAGTAAGACCCTCCCTATCTGCAGGATCGGTATCCACTGATTCACTTATCCACTGCTTGAAAATATTAAATAAAAAACCCCAGAAATTCATAGATAGGCATGTATTTACCAGAACTGGCCATTAGAGGGGGCCAGAAACCATACAGTTTGCATGGACTCTGACTCCCTCTAGTTGTCAGTTCTGGTAAATAAACCCTGCAAATACATACTGTGGTCCTGCTATACAGTAATGAAGTGGAATGGTTTCCATTGCCAGTAGATTGTGGGGATGCCAGCCAGGTTATTGTAGATCGTGTTTATCAAGCGAGTTTCTTCATTTCCTTCCATGTCTGTAATCTGAAAATTAAGAGCCACACTTAGCTGTGCTGTTGCAATGAAGTGATATTCTAAATATGCTAATGAGTAGATTAGTCAGTGATTAGACTTCCACAGCAGGGTGTGCAATATGCAGAACCAGAGGCTGGGAGTTCTATTCCCCATTGTGTCTGTTTGACAAGAGCTGGGCCTAATAATCAATAGGGTCCCTTCGAGCTCGGCAGTTCTAAGATGATGATGATGATCTGCTTGACAAGAGCTGGGCCCAATAATCAATAGGGTCCCTTCCAGCTCGGCAGTTCTAAAATGATGATGATGATGCTACTGATCACGAAGTGCTCAGAGATAGATGCCGCCTTCTCAGATCACAAAGTGCTCAGAGATAGATGCCGCCTTCTCAGAGGCCTTTCTCCTTCCCCTTATTCCTCAACTATGAATCCCTTTTGCTAGCCTTTCCTTAAAGGACAAGTGAATAAATACTTTGGAACCTCCTTCACTGCCTCCACGATAGTGATTGATAATGAGATTAACTCTTAATACACTGCAGAGTAAAGTGGCTACCTGCAGAAAGACTGGAAGCCCTTCCATCTCAAGGAGCAAAATGTCTTTGGACCAGCCCTATCCATCAGCATAGAAGTGGACTAAGCGCTTAAAATACTGTAGGACACACACACACCCATATACATGAGATAATAGGTTCTAAACCCCCCCTCCTGAATACTGAAAAACACAGATTACAGCGGTGCCTTGACTTACGACCATCCTGACTTGCGATCTAATTGAGTTACGATCAACTCCAGTCGCAAAATTTTGCTTTGACTTTGTGACCGGAGCTTTGAGATACAATCCGAGTTACGACCAGCTCCAGTCGCAGAATTTTGCTTTCACTTTGTGACCGGAGCTTTGAGATACAATCAGAAAAAAGGTGTAGAATTTAAACTGCTAACCGTAGGTTGGCGAAGAGGCTGCTTCTCTGTAGCTCCTTCGCCCCAGCGGTTAGAGAGTGTGCGTTCTGCAAGAGGCTTCAAACTGCCAGGTACTGCTTTTATTTTTGCTTTTTGACTTCGTGCGTTCTGCGAGAGGCTTCGGACTGCCTGGTACTGCTTTTATTTTTGCTTTTTGACTTTCTGTTCTGGGTGACTACTGGGGTTTTGCAGCACGGGTTTCGGCTGGGTGGGGGTTTGCTGGAATGGTGGGGGGGTTAAACTTCTGTGGCTGCTCGAGTTTGGGCTGGAGGGGGTTATGTTTCTGTGGGAGAGACTACCTGTTCTGGGTGAGTACTGGGTTTAGGCTGGGTGGGGGTTTGCTGGAAATTTTTTTTTTAATTCTGTGGCTTCTCGGGTTTGGGCTGGGCAGGGGGTGTCTGTTTCTGTGCTTCGATGGGTCTTGCAGTGTGTTTCTTAGTGTGTGGGGGGGAGGTTTGGCCGGAACGGATTACTCGTGTTTCTGATGGCTCTTGCAGTGTGTTTTTTAGTCCCTGCTGGAATGGGTTTGTTTGATTCGGGGTGTTGTTGTTGTTTCTGTGCTTTGATGGGTCTTGCAGTGTGGTTTTTATTTGGGGGGAGGGGGTTTCAGCCAGAATGGATTAATTGCATTTCAATGTATTCCTCTGGGAAATGGTGCTTTGAGGTACAACCAACTTGAGTTACGACCATCATTCCGGAACGGATTAAGTTCGCAATTCAAGGCACCACTGTATAGAGCGGAGGTCCCCAACCACCGGTTTGTGGCCTGATGTGGGTCCGTGGCCTGAGCCCAACCAGGCCACGGAGAGACCACCACTCCGCACGCACTCCCCCCCGCACAGCCCAATTGTGCCTGCACGCCCACACAAGCACTGCACTGCCCTTCACGCATGCGCAGGGGGGTGCCCTGCCTTCCCCAGCTGGTCTGCGAGGCTAAAAAGTTTGGGGACACTGGTTATAGAGAACATTATTTTAATAGCCAATGCCTTGGCCCTCTGGCTCCTTCTAGAGGCCAGTTTTAGTAACTTCATATTTTAAAATATATGTTTCTAGGATTTTAAAAAATATTTTTTATATTTTCAGACTGTGTGTAAATGAATCAGTGGATAATGATCCCACAGATACAGGGTTCTTACTGTATAGTATTTAGTATTTAAATGCCACAATTATTTTTCTCTTTTTCTTTTTTTACTTCTGTCTGGCCTAGAACCATGCTGTGCATTGGGACCCCGGGGTCATGTAGACTTTTTTTAAAAAAAACCAGCAGAAAGAAGTTTGCCATCTTCCAAGGTGGTCCATTCCACTGTGAAACAGCCATTGCCATCGAGAATTTCTTCCTAATGTTTTCATCAGAATCTTTTTTTTTTCTTGCAATTTGTGTCCGTTGAGTTGGATCCCTAATGCTTTGTTGCATCCCCTAGACCAGCAAATCACAAGCTTGCTTCATCTTCGATGGGACAGCCTGTTAGATCCCTAGTAATGACGGTCAAGACACAAGGTTGACTTCTAGAATGTGGAATTTGGGAATTTGCCACGAAATGGGATGTGGCGGTGTGCGCTCTTAAGTGCAAAGCAGACTTTAAAGGGCATCAGCGATTTTGCTGAATGCAGGGAAGGGTTATTCTAATTTCCACCTTTTCTCTGGTTGCAGGGAATGTACGGCATTGAAGACGAAGTGTTCCTGAGCTTGCCGTGCGTGTTAGGGTCGGTTGGCTTGACCAGCGTGATCAACCAGAAGCTGAAGGACAACGAAGTGGCCCAGCTCCAGAAGAGTGCCTCCACCTTGTGGAATGTCCAGAAGGATCTCAAAGATCTGTAGGCGAGGGAGCGTTTCCATTTCCAGCAATGAGGAAGGGGAGGGGGGACATTCAGCATTCAGAGCTGAACCTCCGCTTGTGTGTGAGCGTCTCTAGTTTAACACCGTAGCTGAACTTCTAATAATAACCCCCCCAAACTATTGAAGCTTTTGTCCACCTAGCTAAGATGTGTGTTTGGTGTTAAGGCAGACCTTGTGAACAAATAAAACCAGCTCTTTTGTGTGCGCTCTATTCTGATTGTCTTGTCTTCATTTCCCCTATGATTTGTGTTTGGTTTCTACTTCTAACAGGGAAAAATAGAATCCTCCCATGTTTTCTACAATGTGGCAGGTTTGCTCATTTTTTTAATTACTTGTCTTGGCTTCTTATATTCCAAGGACTAGTATTTAGTAGTCCAAGAACACCTGAGTCACCCAAGGTTGGGAACCACTGTGCTACAGAAATCCCTATGATTTTCCAGTCCAGGACAAATATGTCCTTAGTGCTAATGAAACATATATTGGCCAGTCTTTGGTTCAACATTTATGTACAGTTTCAGAATTCCCAAGAACAAGAACTGCTGCATGAGTCTGACAGTGTTGGCTCTGTAATGTGCAAATGGCACCATACGAAACTCATTGTCTTGGGTCCTCTTTGAGGAGAAAGGCAGGGTCAAATATTTTAAATACAGTGGTGCCTCGCTTAATGAGGATAATCCGTTCCAGCGAAATCGCTGTACACCGAAATCCTCGTTAAGCGAAATTTAAAAATCCCATTGAAATGCATTGAAAACCCATTCAATGCGTCCCAATGGGCTGAAAACTCACCGTCCAGCTAAGATCCTCCATAGGGGCGGCCATTTTCAGTGCCTGTAAAGCAAAGAATCTGTCCAAAAACACAATGGGGAGCCATTTTACACAGTGGGTGGCCATTTTGAAGCCACCGATCAGCTGTTTAAAAAACATCGTCTAGCGAAAAATTGATTCTCAAAGCAGGGAACCGATTGTCGGGAAGCGAATTGTGCCTATTAAAACATTGTTTTGCGATCGCAGAACAGCCATCGTATAGCGGTTTCGTCGTTTAACGAGGCAATTGTTAAGCGGGGCACCACTGTAAATAATAAATGCAGAGCGCCTCTCAGGAAACGACCAGACTCATAATGCCTTGGAGTTCCCGGAGAGCCTAGTTCTGCCCGGAGACAACAGTAGATCCAGAAGGCAGCAGCCAGATCGGTTGCTGGTGACAAGCAAATTGGATCACATCCAGTGCTGGCCAGCCTCCACAGGTTACCTGTTGTGTCCCAGATCATGTTCAAGGTTCTGAGACTCTCATATAAAGCAGTTAACGGTTTGGGGCCATGTTATCAGATCTGCCCAACCCACCAGATCTTGGGCCTGGCTCTTCCATGTAGCTACCCTGAGAGAGGCCGGAAAGTCATCTACTAGAGGTAGGGTCTTCTTGGTGGTGGCACCTACCTCATGGAATCAACTCCCAGAGGAGCTACTCCTGGCCTCCTTCCTGTACTCATTTAGAAGGTATTTAGAAACACTGGTTTTCTGGGAGGCCTGTGACATTGAATGCTTCACCTCCAGCTGTAAGGAGGAAGCAAAACTCAACATTAAGGAGAAAGCAAAACTTAAGGAAGAAGCAAAACTCAAGGAAAAAAACAAAACCCAACATTCCTTAGAAGCTGCTCGGCACACGGGTAAATGCTTTGCTGAGATGGGAGAAATTGTAACCAATGCATATATTCCTGAAGGACGAATCAACGGCTGCATACTTTTCTTTTTTCTTAACTGTATAAAAACTTGAACCCTGTTGAGAGTCCCCACCCTGCTGGGCACCCAAGGGTGCACTTGTTTTACCTGAATAAACCTGTTGCCCTTTCCTCCAAGAAACTGTCCACTTATTATGGCTCGAGACTTGGCTTAATAGAATTAGTCAAGACACCAAGCTCTGGGAGTAACAGTCTTGCCACACTCTGAAAAACAGGTTTGCGACATTGGTTGTTACATTTTTAAAATATGTAGGCATCCTTCAGTCTCGAGAGACTACTGTATGGTAATGTGCTTTGTATGGTGTATGCGGAACAACGTCTAGTGCGGCTGAGAAGGCCTGGACATGGAACAGCGTCTAGTGCAGCTGAGAAGGCCAATTCAAGAGTGACTATCCCTTCCACACTGAAGATGAATACAATCTGTCTCCGTCCGCTCCCTGATTTTGCTTCGACGCTGTATGTGAAGCTGGAGTGTCCTCTCCAGAGCACAAAGCCTGGGTAAACTAATATGGAGGATAAGCTGTTACCCAAGCAGCAAATCCCCCCTCTCCACATCACTGAAATAGTCCAATGGAAAGGCAAGAGCCAATACAACTGATTCCAGCAATGTCACAGGAGTTGCCAAAATGACACGAACTTCTTCCGGGACTCCGGCTCCGGATTTTGCCTTTTGCCAAAATGACACAAACTTCCTCCGGGACTCCGGGTCCGGATTTTGCCTCGAAGTTGACTCCTGAAGCCTTTTCCATCAGCGGATGTAGCCACAAGGCAGCGGAGGTTTAAAATCGGAGTTGTCCTTCTCCTAGATGGGCTGCCTTCCAAGGCTGACGAGCCCCACCTTCCCGGCAATTTTTAGAATATGTTTTTGGTATTGATGTTTTATTCAATGCTTACTGTTCTGTGCAGTTTGTTTTAACTGTAAACCGCCCAGAATATGGCCTCGGCACTAATGGGGCAGTAAAGTAGTAAATAAAATAAATTAATAATAGAGATTAGGCACAAAGTGGCAGTTTGTGCTGGTTTGTCCATCGGTTACATGGCTGATTTGCAATTCGGTGCCCTGCCCCCTAGGGTGGGCACCCACTCAAGGCGACACCCGGAGGAGGCAGGAGAAGGAAATGTGGTCTCCAAGTGGGTGCCCCCTGGAACAGGCGGGGTTGCCAAACTATGGATCAGCTTGTGTGGCCGTCGGTCAATCTGGTGATTCGTGCCCATCTCTAGCCCTTATTTTCTAACTCTTCTTAAGCAACAATTCAGTTTTCAACATTGTGGCCCATTTTTAAGACAAATTATTGCCCCCCAAACTTTTTTTTTAAACTACCATCCTACTCTTGCAGGGGGTGTTAAAAGTAAACAAAAAAAAATTGTAGTGAAAAGTTCTTAAGGAAAATAACAATTTTTGGAATAATAATAAATGGAATTTGCTTTAAGAGAAGGAACAATGTGAAGGAAGAGGCTGCATCTCATCGTTCATCTAATGTTCCAGGACAGGGATTCTGAAACTTTTGTCATTCTTTTCAGAGTCCTTCCTAATAAATTAGGAAATGGTTCTTTCAAAGCTGTTCCCGGTACATGCCGTGTGTCTAGCATCCCCAACCACAAATGCATGTTGATCTGGAAAGTTTTTCCACTGTTCTTCAAGACCACCAAACACAACTTAATTGTTTAGAAGCCAGATGTATTCACAGAAGAAAGAAAGAAAATGAAAAAACCCAGCAGTTCAAAATTAGGTATGGAAAGAGAGATTGCTTTCGTAAAGTCCCATTAAGAGGGAAGCAGAAAGGAAGGCATAGAAATTCTTGACGGCTTAATGATGTCTGGCTTTGTCAGTCCCTTGTTCCTCAGAAACAGGAGCTTCTTTGGCAGCTCCTTCTTGAATGATGACAAACGGAACAATGTGGAACTTTGTTAACAGTCTTAAGCTTTTCTTGCAACAAGTTTCTTGGCAGGCCCATTTATACACTCGAGCGCAGGGAATGGAGTCTACTGGAAATCGGCTTTCATAGAATCCTAGAGTTGGAAGGGGCCTATAAGGCCATCAAGTCCAACCCTATGCTTAGTGCACAAATCTAAATCAAAGGAGATTGGACAGAAAGTTGTACAATTTTCTCCTGAATGCCTCCAACGTTAAAGCACCTCCTGAGGTCACAGGTTCCATTGTCATATGGCTTTAACAGTTAGGAAGTTTTTTTCCTGATATTCAGCCTAGATCTGGTATCCTATACAGTGGTGCCTCGCAAAACGATGTTAATTCATTCCGTGAAAATCGCTGTCTTGCGAAAACATCGTCTTGCGAAATGAAAAAGCCAATTGAAATGCATTGAAACCTTTGAAATGCTTTCCAATGGGCTGAAAACTCATCGTCCAGTGGAGATCCTCCATGGGGGTGCCATTTTCGGTGCCTGTAAAGCAGGGAATCCATCCTGAAAACACAGCAGGGAGCCATTTTGCACAGTGGGTGGCTGTTTTAGAACCACCAATCAGCTGTTTCAGAACGTGGCTACTTTAGAACCGCCAATCAGCTGTTTCAGAATAATCATTTAGCGAAAAATCGGTTCCCAAAGCAGGGAACTGATCATCGTTAAGTGAATTTTCCCCATAGGAACATTGTCAAGCAGGTTTGTCATTTAACAAGGCAATAGTTAAGCGAGGCACCACTGTACTTTGTCAAGTGGTTTCATCATTTAACAAGGCAATAGTTAAGCGAGGCACCACTGTACTTTGAGCCCATGGTTACATGTCCTGAACTGTTGGATGTTCCTGAACAGATCCTGCCCCTCCACTGTATGACTGCCTTTCAAGTGTTTGAAAAGTCCTATCCAATCTCCCCTCAATCTTCTTCAGGCTAAAGGCATCCAACTCTTTCAGTGTTTCCTCACAGGGCTTGGTTTTCAGTCTTCTGGCTATCCTTCTTGTCCTCCTCTGAACTTTTACCAGTTTGTCAGCAAATTTTTAAAAATGCGGTGTCCAGGACAGGACACAATACCCAGGATGAGGCCTTGTTGTTGTTTAGTCATTTAGTCATGTCCGACTCTTCGTGACCCCATTTTCGATATCACTGTCCAACCATCTCATCCTCTGTTGTCCCCTTCTCCTCTTGCCTTCACACTTTCCCAAAATCAAGGTCTGTTCCAAGGAGTCTTCTCTTCTCATGAGATGGCCAAAGTACTGGAGCCTCAGCTTCAGGATCTCTCCTTCCAGTGAGCACTCAGAGTTGATTTCTTTTAGAATTGATAAGTTTGTTCTCCTTGCAGTCCAGGGGACTCTCAAGAGCCTCCTCCAACACCACAATTCAAAAGCATCAATTCTTCGGCGGTCAGCTTTCTTTATGGTCCAGCTCTCACTTCCGTACATCACTACAGGGAAAACTATTCAGACTTTTGTTGGCAAGGTGATGCCTCTGCTTTTTAAGATGCTATCGAGGTTTGTCATCGCTTTCCTCCCAAGAAGCAGGCGTCTTTTGATTTCGGGGCTG